GCGTTACTCTTCTCGTTGCCTTAGCTGAGAACTGCATCTTAAATACGGTTCCAATTTTGTTTTAACGCAAAACTGTTGAACCATATAATCATTGTTCACCAGTGCGTAGCATACGATTTGGGAGATTTTTGTTCATGAAATCTCATTGTAACAGAATCATAACAATTCTCGGCAGATGAAGCTGACAGGATCGAATTTAACCTTATTGGGATTTCAGAATAATTCATTTCCAGGTTGCTGCGCAGCTGAGCGGTGGCATGAAACGTAGACTGTGCGTTGGAATATCATTAATAGGCGAAAGTCCGGTTTTGTTGCTGGATGAACCAACATCTGGTATGGATCTCGGTTCCCGTCATGTCATTGCTACAATTCTCGAAAAGTACAAACAGTCGAAGTACGTCTTCTGCCTTACTGCACATACTAGCAATACTTGGAAACGTTGTATATGTAATTGCAATTTTGTCGCGGACTAGGCTTAAATTTTGCATTCGGACAAATTTGGTCACCACAGACAAAACTGTCCAAAAACTGCATGTCCCCGCAGGCCATTCGGTGCAGATCTTCATTGTTCGATGAAAAGGATTGGTTTCAAAATTCAGTCTGAATTTCTTGTGTTATGAATCACAGACTTGTTTTGAAGGCCTTGCGTATCAGCTTAGGTCTATAAATTTGCAAAGCCAATGTAAGGGACTTGAAAAGTCAAAGTTTCTGTTAAAATCCGATTTGGAGTTTCATTTCATTCTGTGAGACAAAAATACTCCAATCATACGAATTTGCCCTCTAGTAACCGTTGTCCGCCCAGCTACATAAAGTGCCGATGGGAAATATTGCTTTGATGTGGTGCCGACTTTGATTCAAGACATGTTTTAGCATTTTCCCATCGCGAAATGGATCACGAGGGAAGGGTACCGAATCAATTTTGGACATTTTCAGGACGGTTTTACTGACAACTCATTATATGGATGAAGCGGACCTACTTGGTGACCATATTGCAATCATGGTAAAGGGTCATCTCAAATGCGCTGGCACATCGGAAGATCTGAAAAGCCGTTTTCAAGCAGGATATCTGTTATCGGTCGATTTCTCGGTACGTCAAAACATACACGTATGTGTACTTCTGCTTGCATACTTGGGAACCCTCTTCATTCATAAACCGATTTGCACGTGGGTACCTGATAACTTTCCCAACTGTCTCATTTTTTTTTTGTC